TGCAGACTCTTGAAGCGCCGACACCACGTCATCTTGTTGCAGATATCTTGATGGATAATTCCAAACCGAGCTGAGTCAGGAAAAGGCTCAAAATAGGCGACCCTGAGGGATTACTCCTTGCACCTCATGCCTCTTTCATCCCCTCTCTCTCTCTCACTCTGCTCTAATTCTACTCTCCCCTTCCCCCTCCTCCCATTTTCTGGTATGACTAAGGGGTCAGGAGGTTGACCTGATGACAAGTAGAAGATATTTGATCTTCTGCTCATACCACGGTGAGTGGTAGGTTTGCCGGCTAATAGTTAGGAAGTAGTTTCAAGAAAGATGATCAACATGTCAAACTGATTTAATTGAAAATTCCTATTAAATTTTAATTGGAAAGGTTGTTGTTAAATTTCCTGGTATACCTGATCTAGATCACACAGTGACACATGTCATATAAAAGTTACCTACATAGAATCGCCTTTACATCAGATACAGAACAACACTACCGCTGTTTATGTCGCCAATATCATCAAGATCAACATTCACCTCAACTCGGGAACACATGTTGTAGACTTCGCCCACTATTCGTTACCGATGCGAGTTTCGTTACCATTCGTTTCAGTAGACTGAACAAATGGTATATGTACTCCCTCACACGACAAATGGAAATCAGTTAGCGGTCTCACCTGAGCATCTTAGTCCCACTGACTTACCAGACGCCCAAGCTCAGTTGCTGACCATCCAAAGCAAATCAAATCAAATTTTTTTTCAGGTAAAGTACATACATACAAGGTGAGATACAAACATTGATGGATTTATAGACAGAGCTAGTACATACAATGCCTAAAGCCACTATTATTCAAAGCGTTTCTGGCAATCCTCAACAAACGTCATACTGTTGTAGCACTGACAGGAGAACAACTTGGACTGATACACCTCATCACAAAATTCCTCTTGAATCAGGTACTCGACCAATTTATGTACTCGCATACAGATTGCCTCATTCTCAACGAGCTGTTGCAGACCGACTTATTAACGAGATGCTACACGGAGATGTTATTGAAGAAAGTACCTCTCCATGGAATGCTCCGTTGATCTTAGTACCCAAGAAGGATGGCTCTTGGCGTCCCGTCGCTGATTTCAGAAAACTTAACCAAGTGACGATACCTGATAGACTTCCACTTCCCGTGCTCACTGACTAATTGAATAACATTGGCCAGAATAAGATTTTTTCTACACTTGATCTATTGCGCAATGCGTCCTCCTAATAGAACGTCGCATTTTGACGTATTCTCTACCTTAGGCCAAAAATTGTCATACTAGAAAATGGTAGAGGCTCACGATATTGACATACTGTCTCGTTTTCTCGAGATCGGTGTTAGGTGTTATCGAGTGTGTACTCATAGTGTGAGATACAGAAGTTAAGATTAGCGAGGCTAGATAGAGTTGTCCACTTATTAGATAAGTCACGAGTGATGGCGCCCAAGTGGCAATGTTAGTAGTAGAAAATGCGACTACAGAGAGCCATTTCGATTTTCAGGACGGCTGCCCGTAGTCGCACTTTCTACTACTAACGTCCGTCCTTCTGTCGGAATGCCTGTATGTCCCTCTCTCTCAATGGTTGTTACGGCCACAATGGGTCACAACCGGGTTCTTTTCTGGTGGAGCTAAAGTTCTGGTATCCGGCACTAGGAAACAACACTTACGTATTCTGACAGATATACAACTCCTCCTTCAATAGATGGCGCTGATTTTCTAAGCACCAGCTACCTCTCGAACTAACTAGGACAGGAATCTAGCGCCTCTTGCTGGTATAATCCTGTCACCACTAGATGGCGTCGTCCATGTTGTGGGGGGTTTCAGAAGCGGACTCATAGATGGCATTGACGTCGCTGCTCCGTGCTCCAACGATGGAATCGGGTTCGTAATAATGCTAGGCTTTGCTTAGCCAGTAACCCGGTTCGTTATTTGAAACACACTCAATGGGGCTTTACTGCCTCTTCTTATCGGGCAGTAATAGTTATTGGTGAAAGGAAATAGGGGGTAAACAGGGATAAACAATACTAATCAGAACCTTCACCAAGTGTACTTCTTATGTATATCTATATACATATGTACATATCAATCTGCGAGTTATACATATCAACTTGCCCATGTTATACTCAGTATAACATGGGCAAGTCCGACTCTGTATCGTCAGGGTGTATACAACAGTACTTCTACTCTCCAGCAACATCACCCTAGCCCACCCTGGCCCACCATACCCACACCCTGGCCCACCATACCCACACCCTGGCCCACCATACCCACACCCCTGACCCCCCCCCTCTGCCTCTAGTGCTCATTAATAACATTCCTCATCTCCAGTTATATGCAAAAATATACATACAAAATTATTATTAAATCTAAATCTGCTAAAAAATTCAAAATAAACCATCACAGGAAATTCCTACTTTGAGGTATTAAATTTCTGGCCACGTGATGGGTGAGGATCCTTGACTTTACATAGGGAGCGTCGACCTTGGCGGCCCAGCGCCCACGGTCATAGCATTGTCTTATTCCCATGTACCACCCTGAAATTCTGTCCTAAAATTCCTTTGTCACTTCAACTATAATTTTGGTTGTGGTGATAATTGGTACCAGCTACAGGGCTCTGTACTTGGCACTGTGCCTGGCACTGTACCTGGCACTGTACCTTGAGGTGATTTCGGGGCTTAGCGTCCCCGCGGCCCGGTCCTCGACCAGGCCTCCTTTTAGTTACCCACCCCCCAGGAAGCAGCCTGTAGCAGCTGTCTAACTCCCAGGTACCTATTTACTGCTAAGTGAACAGGACCATCAGAGTAAAAAAGAATCTATACCCATATATTTCTGCCTCCACCGGGGATCGAACCCGTAATATAATCACGATGAATTGCATCTGCACTTCTATAATGCAATCAGTTTATGATGGAATATTGGTCTTGCGGCTCAGCTTGTAGAGCGACGCATGCGCCTGGAGGCTCAGATACATGTGTACTGTGTTGTGTAGGGAAGTCAAGGCGGTATTGTTGGGAGGAGGAAGTCAATGAGAGGCCTGGGAGGGTTGGGGGGGGCGAGGAGGAGGTCAAGGCCACAGCCAGATGGGGAGAAGTCAAGGCGGCCGTGGAGAGAGAGAGAGAGAGAGAGAGCAAGCTCAGTGGAGAGGAAGCCAAAGCAGCAGGGGAAAGAGGGGGAGAGGTGGTTGGGGACGAGGAAGCCAAACTGGTGTTGTAACCTCGTTGGTGAGTGACGTTCTAGGGCTGATGATGATTGGGTCACACACACACACACACACACACACACACACACACACACACACACACACACACACACACACACACACACACACACACACAGTATAGGACGAAGGGAAAACAGATTCATCAATTACAATGTGAGAGAGACCTTGGAGTGAACCTACCGCCAACACTGAGGCCAGAAGCCTCATTATCTCAACACCAACAGCCAACATCCAGGTATCCTTCAGAAGGCTGGACAAGGGGCTTCTGAGGCCCTATACACAACAAACGTGAGACTCACACTTGAATATGCAGCACCAACATGAAAAAGGACAAGGAGAAACAAGAAAATGACCAAAAATATGCAACAATACTCGTCCCTGAGCTGAAAGGATTAAGCTATGAGGAATGCCTGAGAGAACTGGCCTTTCCCACACTAAGGGAAAGGAGAGATAGTGGGGATATGATAACAACATATAAGATTATAAGGAAAACTGACAAGTTAGACAAAGCAGCATTGTTCGAAAGATATAATGGTCATAAATAAACTGTTAATTACTATTAATTAACATCTCTAAGTATCAGTAAGCCCGTCGTGTCTTCACAATGATGATTCAGTCAACCTCAATGGCTTCTGTGATCATCAATGACTCCAAGGAATATTTAATTAATCCCTGCAAATACTAAAGAATAGTTGTTGACCATCAACCAATGTTAATCATTGATTGATCATTATACATATAACGGCAGTAACACGTCCAGTCATTGGCTCTCCTCTGAGTCATTGACTTGTGATTATCAATAGATATTAGAGTAATTAAATAAAAGTAATTAACTCCGGTAAGTTCCATTTGGTGGATGTGGTGGCAGAATGGTTCATTAATGAAGAGCAGGTCCTGCTTGTTCAATCATTATAAGTGGTGATGTTGGCAGCACTGGTGGTGGTGTGTTAAATGTTGGCAGCAGTGGTAATTTTTTTTTTTTTAATAAAGAGGAAGGAGAGGGGTGTGTAAAGGGACGTTTAGAAGTGGGAAATACAGTGAGAATTATGATAGCAGGCGGGCTGTCCACCTTGCTGACACGATGTTATGATAGGCGGGCTGTCCACCTTGCTGACACGATGTTATGATAGCAGGCGGGCTGTCCGCATTGCTGACACGATGTTATGATAGCAGGCGGGCTGTCCGCCTTGCTGACGCGATGCTATGATAGCAGGCGGGCTGTCCGCCTTGCTGACACGATGTGTGGGTGTTAGCAGCTAAGCTAAGCTGGCTCCCTCTTGTCAGGGAGCTGTGAGAGGTGGGAGTTGGGCGTCTCATCTTGGAGTGATCTTTCTAACATTGGGTCCTCTAACATTTGGATGGTGTTCCACACCCTGATGGCTTGATGTTGCAGTCTGATGTTTAGTGGCTGTATGTTCAGGAGTTCATGGAGCTCCTGGATTGTCTGATCATATGGTGGACGGTGTTTTGCTGCTCTCCTTAGCGCCTTATTTTGCACTGCTTGCAGCTTCTGCCTTCTTTAAGGTGTGTAGTGGTACTGGAGGGTATTCTAGATGCGGCCGAACTAGAGCCTTATATAGGTGGATCTGAATGTTTGTACCGAGGTTTCGGAATCTCATCTATAAAGCTGCAGAGAATAGCAGTAAATCTCTCAGGAAGTCCTAGCTCAGATATCTTATGTTTTCAATCTTCCCCCTCCACCTCTCTCTCCCCCTCCCCCTCTCTCTCTTCCCCTTCCCCAGAGCCCTCCACTCCAACAATGGCCGCCGCCAGCAGCGTGCAGGAAAAATGTGAGTAAAAATGGTAAACGCATTAAGACAATGGTCTGTGAGGAGAGGCAGGCGACAGGCCAAGTGCTCAGGCAGCGGGGAGGGCGAGAGAGAGAGAGAGAGAGAGAGAGCAGTGAAGCTTCAAGCACTAGGCATCTCGGGCTCCATCTTAGAGTTAATATAAGACTACCTTCAAGAGCGGACTTTAAGGGTAGACCTCAATGGAGTATGATTCCAAAGTCACTCCTGTGGAATGTTTACTTCACCGATCTATTTCATGTCATTCCTGAAGCTCAAGCCTATGATAACTAGACTGCAGGAAACTTACAGCTTATCATCTAGAGTCTCTCCTGGATCGCCCGGTAGACATTAATAGGAGCTGCCTCGTATGGACCAAGAGGCCTTCTGCAGTTAACTTGATTCTTATGTTCTTGAGAGAGAGAGAGAGAGAGAGAGAGAGGATGGGGCAATACCAGTAGAAGGAAAGGGGGGATATAGAAACATGATGGTATGGGATGAAGGCATGAATAAGGAGGATGTATGAGGGATCTCACAACCATGGTGGGACGGATGAGTCCATGGTGAAGGGTGTATGAGTTAGGGAGGGGGGGGGGTAGACCATGTGGCAATAATCCCAACAGCTTCCGTCACGGTTGCCAGCTCGTCTCCTTTCCCGCCAAAACATTCCTCTCTGCCAGGAGAATATCCTGGTGGTTTATATAAGCTATACGCCACTTTCATGTATATAATATAGAGGCAGGCGGAGAAGATATAAGAGTCAGGGGAGGGTGGGTGAGGTTAGTGGGGCGCCTTGACGTAGTTGTCAGTTAAGGAGTGGTTGAGTTATTAACACGGTGGAGGAGAGAGGTCCCTACACACCACTGCCCCAAGCACGCTCTCCTCTCCCACCTCTCCTCACTCTAACACACTCAATAACACGCAAAAAGTGATCACACTGACAGAATTTCATTCCCTTTGCCCCCTCCTCCCCCCGTCCCCACCAGCCAGGGGCTCAGGGATTTGGTGGGGGAGAGGGAGGGGGAGATTGTTGATGGAGGGGGGGTTGGTGGGGGAATATTAGGAACGACGGGAGAAACGGGGGTTCAGAGGGAATGGATCCCTACGACGGGGGTTGGGAAGGCTGGGGTGATGGGAGGGGGGGTTGACTGTTGTCATAAACGGGGTCACGACACCTCCTTACTGTTGAACGTGTTCTTCACTAACAGTAAACGGTGTTTACTGTTGCGGGAAGGCTGGTGGGCTGCCTCCACTAGTGACGACTGTCTTAATCACTCGCCACCTGATCAAAGAGCCAAAGCTCAACCCCCGCAAGCACAATTAGGTGAGTACCTAACTCGGTACTACATTAAAGCTGTAACTTGGTGATGAGTGAGACACATGAGTATGTGGGCAACTCATCCATATCAACAGTATCATACAACCACCCCCCCCCCCTCCGCCAGCAAAGGGTAAAACTACATTAGATCACTACTGTCAAGTGATGAACAAAATTCTTTCTTGTGTTAAAAACAATATATTATGTAACTTTTGGATGAGGGAGGTGTATGAGAACATTGTGAGGACACACACGGCCGCTTGCCTCCCTCACTATACAATAACTCCCTCACTATAACCTGTCATCTTGGAATTCACGATAGCAGGAAATATTGCAATAAGTGTGGTGGGAGCGGACGAGGCTTCCCACCGAACCTCCGCAATGTTTCACTCAACTGGAAGCTTCAAAGTGATTTTTTTTTGTCGTTGGGGTGTAATTGAGGGTTCGAACTTACGTCTGAGAGGATCCCAGACGTAAGTTCGAACACTCGTCATGGCCCTTGTGGATTTGTTCATTTGATGCATCACGCTATTGTGATTTCTGCGTGTAAGATGTATATTATTGTTATAGGACGACCCCCTCACCTACACCAGGGGTGTCAACCCCCTCCCTCACCTACACCAGGGGGTGTCCACCCCTCTCACCTACACCAGGGGTCCACCCCCCCCCCCGCTACACAGAACACTCCCATGCAAAACAAACCCAAATGCTGTCGAGTAGAGATGAGCGATAATGATAGCCAACACGACTCTGCAACACCACCAACATTATTTGCAATGAAGATTTTGCTAGCAATTATTGCAGCAGAGCGGCCGCTGGCTCAGTAATTGCATGGGAATGCAGGATTAATATTTAATTTGCCAGCTTAGAGCAAAAGGAGGGGGGTGTTGTGTGGCTGAGGAGTTATAACCCATCATAGAAATACTTTATCGTGCATTGGGGGGGAGGGAATGGTGGAGAAAAACGGTTGAGTTACGATGACGAGGCTTCGTAGGCTGGTAGCTAGCAAGACTGGTTGCTCCCACCAACCCTATTAAACCCGGAAGCTCCATAGCATCTTGCCTATAGTGATGTCGCACGTTTTTACATTAGTGAATTGTCAATCAGAGGCAAATCAGGAAAACTGCCTCCCTTTACCTCCCTACCTCGAGGCGGCCAGGGGGCGGCGATGGCCGCCGCGGACCCTCACCACTTGATGAAACCGCCGCCCTACTCCAGCCACCAGCGATGGCCGCCGCGCACGCTGCTCGCTTCACAAACCTCTAAGGTTTGCAAGCTTCTTACCGGTTGCTAAATTGCAATTGATGAGATTAGGTTGATTATATTTGTAGGGAATAAGTCTGTGCATCCTACGGCATCAAAATGTTGGAGTTTATTCCAGTGGCGGTGAATGAAATTGTGAAATTTCATCTGGGGAGAGCAGGGTGTGGCGATGGCCGGCGCGGACACTAGGTGCTGTTTGGTGAGGCTCTGCTGTACTACCACTACTACCACCACTACTACCAGTACTAGTACTACCACCACTACTACCACTACCAGTACTACTATCACTACCAGTACTACTACCACTACTATCAGTACTACTACCAGTACCACCACAACTACCACTACTACCACCACTACCAGTACTACCACTACTACTACCAGTACTACCACCACTACTACCACCACCACCACCACCACTCTGTTGGGTGGTAGCATAACGTCATACAATCAGCATAACGCTTGTAGCGGCTGCTACAAGGAGCATAACATTGCTGTAGCGGGCTACAAGGAGCATAACACTGCTGTAGCGGGCTACAAGGAGCATAACACTGCTGTAGCAGGTTACAAGCAGCATAACACTGCTGAAGCGGGCTACAAGCAACATAATACTGCTGTAGCGGGCTACAAGCAGCATAACACTGCCGCAGAGGCTGCTACAAGCAGCATAACACTTCTGTAGTAGGCTACAAGCAGCATAACACTTCTGTAGCGGGCTACAAGCAGCATAACACTTCTGTAGCGGGCTACAAGCAGCATAACACTTCTGTAGCGGGCTACAAGCAGCATAACACTTCTGTAGCGGGCTACAAGCAGCATAACACTTCTGTAGCGGGCTACAAGCAGCATAACCCTTCTGTAGCGGGCTACAAGCAGCATAACCCTTCTGTAGCGGGCTACAAGCAGCATAACACTTCTGTAGCGGGCTACAAGCAGCATAACACTTCTGTAGCGGGCTACAAGCAGCATAACACTGCCGTAGCGGGCTACAAGCAGCATAACACTTCTGTAGCGGGCTACAAGCAGCATAACACTGCCGTAGCGGGCTACAAGCAGCATAACACTGCCGTAGCGGGCTACAAGCAGCATAACACTGCCGTAGCGGGCTACAAGCAGCATAACACTGCCGTAGCGGGCTACAAGCAGCATAACACTGCCGTAGCGGGCTACAAGCAGCATAACACTGCCGTAGCGGGCTACAAGCAGCATAACACTGCCGTAGCGGGCTTCAAGCAGCATAACACTGCCGTAGCGGGCTACAAGCAGCATAACACTGCCGTAGCGGGCTACAAGCAGCATAACACTGCCGTAGCGGGCTACAAGCAGCATAACACTGCCGTAGCGGGCTACAAGCAGCATAACACTGCCGTAGCGGGCTACAAGCAGCATAACACTGCCGTAGCGGGCTACAAGCAGCATAACACTGCCGTAGCGGGCTACGAGCAGCATAACACTGCCGTAGCGGGCTACGAGCAGCATAACACTGCCGTAGCGGGCTACGAGCAGCATAACACTGCCGTAGCGGGCTACGAGCAGCATAACACTGCCGTAGCGGGCTACGAGCAGCATAACACTGCCGTAGCGGGCTACGAGCAGCATAACACTGCCGTAGCGGGCTACGAGCAGCATAACACTGCCGTAGCGGGCTACGAGCAGCATAACACTGCCGTAGCGGGCTACGAGCAGCATAACACTGCCGTAGCGGGCTACGAGCAGCATAACACTGCCGTAGCGGGCTACGAGCAGCATAACACTGCCGTAGCGGGCTACGAGCAGCATAACACTGCCGTAGCGGGCTACGAGCAGCATAACACTGCCGTAGCGGGCTACGAGCAGCATAACACTGCCGTAGCGGGCTACGAGCAGCATAACACTGCCGTAGCGGGCTACGAGCAGCATAACACTGCCGTAGCGGGCTACGAGCAGCATAACACTGCCGTAGCGGGCTACGAGCAGCATAACACTGCCGTAGCGGGCTACGAGCAGCATAACACTGCCGTAGCGGGCTACGAGCAGCATAACACTGCCGTAGCGGGCTACGAGCAGCATAACACTGCCGTAGCGGGCTACGAGCAGCATAACACTGCCGTAGCGGGCTACGAGCAGCATAACACTGCCGTAGCGGGCTACGAGCAGCATAACACTGCCGTAGCGGGCTACGAGCAGCATAACACTGCCGTAGCGGGCTACGAGCAGCATAACACTGCCGTAGCGGGCTACGAGCAGCATAACACTGCCGTAGCGGGCTACGAGCAGCATAACACTGCCGTAGCGGGCTACGAGCAGCATAACACTGCCGTAGCGGGCTACGAGCAGCATAACACTGCCGTAGCGGGCTACGAGCAGCATAACACTGCCGTAGCGGGCTACGAGCAGCATAACACTGCCGTAGCGGGCTACGAGCAGCATAACACTGCCGTAGCGGGCTACGAGCAGCATAACACTGCCGTAGCGGGCTACGAGCAGCATAACACTGCCGTAGCGGGCTACGAGCAGCATAACACTGCCGTAGCGGGCTACGAGCAGCATAACACTGCCGTAGCGGGCTACGAGCAGCATAACACTGCCGTAGCGGGCTACGAGCAGCATAACACTGCCGTAGCGGGCTACGAGCAGCATAACACTGCCGTAGCGGGCTACGAGCAGCATAACACTGCCGTAGCGGGCTACGAGCAGCATAACACTGCCGTAGCGGGCTACGAGCAGCATAACACTGCCGTAGCGGGCTACGAGCAGCATAACACTGCCGTAGCGGGCTACGAGCAGCATAACACTGCCGTAGCGGGCTACGAGCAGCATAACACTGCCGTAGCGGGCTACAAGCAGCATAACACTGCCGTAGCGGGCTACAAGCAGCATAACACTGCCGTAGCGGGCTACAAGCAGCATAACACTGCCGTAGCGGGCTACAAGCAGCATAACACTGCCGTAGCGGGCTACAAGCAGCATAACACTGCCGTAGCGGGCTACAAGCAGCATAACACTGCCGTAGCGGGCTACAAGCAGCATAACACTGCCGTAGCGGGCTACAAGCAGCATAACACTGCCGTAGCGGGCTACAAGCAGCATAACACTGCCGTAGCGGGCTACAAGCAGCATAACACTGCCGTAGCGGGCTACAAGCAGCATAACACTGCCGTAGCGGGCTACAAGCAGCATAACACTGCCGTAGCGGGCTACAAGCAGCATAACACTGCCGTAGCGGGCTACAAGCAGCATAACACTGCCGTAGCGGGCTACAAGCAGCATAACACTGCCGTAGCGGGCTACAAGCAGCATAACACTGCCGAGGCGGGCTACAAGCAGCATAACACTGCCGAGGCGGGCTACAAGCAGCATAACACTGCCGAGGCGGGCTACAAGCAGCATAACACTGCCGAGGCGGGCTACAAGCAGCATAACACTGCCGTAGCGGGCTACAAGCAGCATAACACTGCTGTAGCGGGCTACAAGCAGCATAACACTGCTGTAGCGGGCTACAAGCAGCATAACACCGCCGTAGAGTGCTACAAGCAGCATAACACTGCCGTAGCGGGCTACGAGCAGGATAATGCTAACCCAAGTTTCTATACCCGTCTCTCAATTCAGATTAATATGATATGTACGGTGAGATGTGGAAGCAGGGAGGTGGCCCCGCGCTGCCCGAGGCTCCTACGGCCGCTAAATGCTCCCAGCATCTCTAGTAAGCTGGCTAAAACACGCTAAACTTATTATGATTAACAGAAAGAAGTCTAATCAAGACTTGCCTCAATCCATAATGACTTAGGAGTTATTAATAAATCGGATACGTTGAAATGAGAGCGATGGAAAACAGGCGGGGTAGGGCGATGGCCGGCGTGGACCCCCATCCCAGCCCCTGCGCCGCTGCCACATGTCTTGAGATAACTAGTTTCAAATGTGAATTAGATGCGCGTATATCTGTATAGGTTGATTATTATTACACCAACAATACCATTTGCGGCAATGCAGCTCCTGGCGGATAGAAATATTCCTTTTTTATGTGTTGCTTTAATGGAAAGGTGTAAATATTGATGCATGGGTGGAAACGTGGCGGCAGGCGGGAGGTGTATGTGCTTATATTCGCTCTCATCGCCCAAACCAATTTTCAGGCTTTGTCTACAGAATTTTACAAACGTTTAACTGTAGTTCAGCTTTGTCATGACATTACTGTGTTTTTGGTAGCTCCTTCCTAATAAAAAAGTGTGTGCAAAGCTGCAACATTCCATATTTGTATATATGAAGTTTTTGTGTGTATTGATACAAGTATATCAATCAAGTTTGGGTGTGTTCAATGTGGACTAGGCTACACTCTGGCTGTAACTCTTTCTGTATACTGGGGGCTGTGTATAGCTAGGGTGTATAGCTGTGTATAGTTAGGGTGTATAGCTGTGTATACCGTGGGAGTGGCCACTTGTGTGGTGTAGCCACAAGCCTCACACAAAGCAATAAGGTTATCCTGCTTTGGTTACACACACCTCTCCAGCCTGCTGCTGCTGCTAATAGCGGAGTATATGGACCTATTGGTAATTGTTAATTGATAATGCATTGTGGAGCAGCTGGTGAGGAGGGGACTGGCCGCTCAAGGCGGGTTTCCTCCTCACCAGTTTACTTGTGACTCAGAGAAAAACGTCTTGGGGTGGAGGTGCTACACTCCACCATGTTGTTGGTGCTAGCGGCATGCTAGCTGAGCCCTGCACCTTTAGGATGAGTTAGTGAGTGTGGTAGCCATGAGGCCGTCGACTCCAGCACCATCTAGGCCTACCAGATAACAATGGAGGCTGGTTGTAAATTAAGGAGATGGTGGTGGTTGGCAGGGCGGCGCCGACCTCCTCCTCCTCCTCACCACAAATACACGGCCTTATTTTCAGGCGTTACACAGGCAATAAATGCTTGCATGTGTAGCACAGTTGTAGAATATGGCATAGAGTAGCATAGACATTAGTGTATTGGCTGGCAAATATCGCCTGTGAATTAAAAAGAAGGCTTATGGGCGTATGGCCGCTGCCGGCAGCAGGCGCGCTCTCACACCGCCAACCTCACCATTCCTCCCTGTTTGTTCTCCCTCATCTACCGCCTCACGCCCACAACTGTCTCAGCCTCCGCTCGTGCACTTACGCCAGCGTTCGCCCTCCATCGAGGAATAAATAATTAGCATTTGTAGAGCGAAGATAAAAGTGATGAGAAGCTGTGAATGTGGCAGCGGGCGCGTGTGAGTTGGTCGGCAGTGACGAGGCGTCCAGAATCTTACCGACCGTCGAGCCGAGCGCATCCCCCGACGCTCCCGACCTGCCCTCGGGTTTTAACCATTTGGAAGGTGTTCGGGGCAGTTTAGAGTGGTGTGTGTGCGCCTGGAATACCGTAGGAGGGTTGTGTAGTGCATCTGCCGGGCTAGCCGAGGTGTGTGAGCCTGTACGGAGCCGCAACTTGGAACTTATTGTTGTTATTAGTTAATGTGAGTCGGCCGCAGTGTTGCCACGTCGCCCACACCCCAGGATATAATATATATAATGACGTCTACTTGTTTGGTGTAGTTGTAAGCCACATGGAATGCTGTTGTAGTGGTTAAAGTGATGAGTCTAGTGAGTGTGTCAGTGCTTGGATAACCAGTGTAGCAGTTGGAAGCCCCAGCAAGATATCACAAGGACCTCCCTCCTCCTCTCCCCCCCCCCAACCTCACGCCACTCCTTTGTCCCCGGCCATATTTAGGCTTGTGTATGAGGTGGTGGTGAGGTTGTGAGGCTCCACCACTCCTGCCTGGATTGCACGGACCATAGCCACACGGTAAGTTATCCTGCAGCTGTTATCACCGTGTGTGTGTGTGTGTGTGTGTGTGAGAGAGGGTGGGTGGCGAGGTGTGGCAACGCCGCCACCCGTTTTATCCACCCCCTATTTATTTCCATTAAAGTTTAGCGTGTTTGTCTTCATTTACTGCGGCAACACTGATTGTTTACTGCCCCTTCTCTCTCCCCCCTCTCTTCCCCCCCCCCTCTCTCTCTCTCTTCTCCCCCTCTCTCTCTTCTCCCCCTCTCTCTCTTCTCCCCCTCTCTCTCTTCTCCCCCTCTCTCTCTTCTCCCCCTCTCTCTCTTCTCCCCCTCTCTCTCTCTCTCTCTCTCTCTCTCTCTCCTCTCTCTCTCTCTCTCTCCCCCTCTCTCTTCTCCCCCTCTCTCTCTTCTCCCCCTCGCTCTCTTCTCCCCCTCTCTCTCTCTCCCCCTCTCTCTTCTCCCCCTCTCTCTCTCTTGGGTCGCTATGTGGGGAGAGGATGGAGGGGATAGGGGACGAGGTGGGGTGAGGGGTTGGGAGGATTGGTGAGGGGTAGGGGGGATGTGGGTTAGGGGGAAAGGAGGGGACAACACCCCCCCCATCCACGGGTAATACTCACTGTAATACTTAATGCTTGCCCCTCCCCCCTCCCACAAATCCCCCCACTCCCCCCCCCTCCTGCATACATTCCTTTGTTGACGTGTGCTTGATGCACTCTCGTGTAAAATATTAATCACTGATGATAATATTGAGTGTGTGTGTGTGTGGGGGGGGGGGCAGGGGCGGGTGGTGCTCTTACTCACCTAGTTGCGGCTTGCTGGGGTTGGGCTTCGGCTCTTTGGTCCCCGCCTCTCAACCCCCATGGAACTGATGTACGGGTTCCTGAGCCTTTTGGGGTTCTATTATATCTGTATTTGGAACTGTGTATGGTGTCTGCCTCTACCATATCACGTCTAATGCGTTTCTTTTGTTAATTCCCCTGGAAGTGAAGAAATTATGTCTCTTGGGTGTTGTCAAGTTTCCAGCTGTCTCCCCCCTTGTTCGTGTACTACCCTTGCTAATTCCTCTTGAGAATTTTTGAGGTGGTAATGATTTCTCCCACAACATATGTTGGTCACCCTCGCATGTACCGCTGATGATATGTGGGCTTCAGGGGAGGCGTCTGGCGTGATATCAACCCCCCAGATCTTTCTCTGTTCCTGAAGGATTTCTTTTCCCAGTTGGTACCTTACCTACGGCTTCCTGCTCCCTACACCTCTTTTCATTACTTTGCATTTGCTCGAGTTAAGCTCTTGTTATACCCATTTGTTGGGCCATTCCTGCAATTTGTCCAGATCATTATCTAGTCTCTTGTTTGCCTTCTCTGTCTTAATTGATTTGCCATCTCTGCACCTATGTTGATGTCTTACAAAGTCCTTTCTCTCCAGATCTGCTACAAGCTTTTTTCTTGCGGTCTTCTCCAGAACTGCGATGATTTCAGGGCTCAACGTCCCCGCGGCCCGGTCCCAAAGGTTTAGTCCCTCCTGGCTGTTATCCTTTTTTTTATATATTGGCACTTCATTCACCGTTTCAATTCCAACTCCTCCTTTTCAGCTTCATTCAACTTCTTTCCAATTTTTTGGCATGTCTCCTGTTTCCAGTGATTTAATGGACACCACCGCGAGTGCTACAGCCTTAGTCAAGCCCCTATCTTGAGATGTTATCTCAAGATAACATCTAACCTCATCTCTTCCACCGCTGCCTGGTGTACGACCTGAGGTGGATAATCCTCTGCAGGTGTTCACGACCAGAGGCTGGTAATCCTGTGCAGGTGTGTACGACCAGAGGCTGGTAATCCTGTGCAGGTGTGTACGACCAGTGGCTGGTAATGCCAAAGTGCCCTTTTCCTAACCTACCAGAGGATCAAAATGAGAAAAGGACAGTATTGCATGTCCGCCTTGCTGACACGATGCTATGATAGCAGGCGTGCTGTCCGCCTTGCTGACACGATGCTATGATAGCAGGCAGGCTGTCCGCCTTGCTGACACGATGCTATGATAGCAGGCGGGCTGTCCGCCTTGCTGACACGATGCTATGGTAGCAGGCGGGCTGTCCGCCTTGCTGACACGATGCTATGATAGCAGGCGGGCTGTCCGCCTTGCTGACACGATGCTATGATAGCAGGCGGGCTGTCCGCCTTGCTGACACGATGCTATGGTAGCAGGCAGGCTGTCCGCCTTGCTGACACGATGCTATGATATCAGGCAGGCTGTCCGCCTTGCTGACACGATGCTATGATGTCAGCAAGGCTTACAGCCCGTCTGCTACGATGCTATGATAGCAGGCGGGCTGTCCGCCTTGCTGACACGATGTTATGATAGCAGGCGGGCTGTCCGCCTTGCTGACACGATGTTATGATAGGCGGGCTGTCCGCCTTGCTGACACGATGTTATGATAGCAGGCGGGCTGTCCGCCTTGCTGACACGATGTTATGATAGCAGGCGGGCTGTCCGCCTTGCTGACACGATGTTATGATAGCAGGCGGGCTGTCCGCCTTGCTGACACGATGTTATGATAGCAGGCGGGCTGTCCGCCTTGCTGACACGATGTTATGATAGCAGGCGGGCTGTCCGCCTTGCTGACACGATGTGTGGGTGTTGGCAGCTAAGCTAAGCTGGCTCCCTCTTGTCAGGGAGCTGTGAGTGTGTGAGAGGTTCTTCACATGTGTTTCACCATATATGGATGTCTATAGATGAATACTGTGTAGCATTCATATATACACACTCCGATGCTTCCCCGGTGGAAGCGGAAACAAATGGACAGTTTCTTTCACCCTGATGGCCCTGTTCACCTAGCAGTAAATAGGTACCTGGGAATTAGACAGCTGTTGCGGGCTGCTTCCTGTGTGTGTGTGGGGGGTGGGGGGGAAGTTGATTGATTGACAGTTGAGAGGCGGGCCTATAAAGCCAGAGCTCAATCCCCACAAACACAACTAGATGAATACACGTATTTGATGTTCTGTGTAAGGTTATATATATATATATATATATATATATATATATATATATATATATATATATAATAAATAAATATATATATATATATATATATATATATATATATATATATATATATATATTAAAATATATAATCTTGCAATAAATCTTGGGCCTCCCACCAGCTGTGGGAGTGGGGCGTCTCATCTTGGGCCATGGGCCACCAGCTGTGGGAGCGGGGCGTCTCATTTTGGAGTAATCTGTCTAACATTGGGTTCTCTAACATTGGGATGGTGTTCCACACCCTGATGACTTGGTGCTGTAGTCTGATGTTTAGTGGCTGTATGTTCAGGAGTTCATGGAGCTCCTGGATTGTCTGATCATATGGTGGATGGTGTTTTGCTGCTCTCCTTAGTGCCTTATTTTGCACGGCTTGTACTTCATGCATGTTAGTTTGCTCTAATGTGTGGTGGTACTGGGGGATATTCTACTAGAAAGCTTTCCAGTACCTGTTCTATTGATCGTGAGCCCCAGTATTCCGCATAATGGATTGGACGGTTGTCAAGGATAATGGGTTCCATTTTTTACTGCAATTTTTTTAATTTTTGTTTGTGTACTTATTGTACATTGCCATACACAGTTGTTAATGAATTCAATTGCTGCCTTGGTATTGTTGGCTAGTAGCGGCTTTAATGGTCCCGGTTGGCATATAATTTGGGTGACATCTTCAGCGTATGTGATGTATTCTCCATGTTGGGGTTGGGGTAGGTCAGCTGTATATGTTGAATAGAGTGGGGGAGAGGCAGCTTCCTTGTGGTACTCCACTTTTCAGTTCTATTACGTCACCCAAGTAGCTGCCAATATTGAGCCTTGCAGTCCTGTTGTCTATAAAGCTGCCGTGTACTCACCTTGTTCTGCTTGCGGGGCTTGAGCTCTGGATCTTTGGACACGCCTCTCAACTGTCAATCAATTGATTCCCCCCTTCCTCCGACCCCCAAGAAGCAGCCCGAAGTAGCTGTCTAACTCCCAGGTACCTATTTACTGCTAGGTGAATAGAGGCATCAGGGTGAAAGAAACTACCCATTTGTTTCCGCCATCGCCAGGGATCGATTCCCGGACTCTAGGACTACTAATCCCGAGCGCTGGCCATTCAGCCGTCAGGCCCCTCAGGCAGTGTTGGAATACCAGTGAGGGTTGTGACGATGTCTGGATAGCAATTTGTTGCATAGGTGAAGAGAGGCATAAGGTAAAGAGGAAACATGCTAAACAACTGGTGCAATTGTTGCCCGGGGGGGGGGGGTTCCCGATTGTGGGTCAAGAACGAATCCACCTGTGCTTCTGAGACCCTTATGGTGTAGATACACTGACTTTTGTTCTCTCATTTTCCTCTCTTCATTACCTTACACGTGTTGGTATTGAACTCCAGCAGCCATAACTTTGGCCTCTCCTGAAGTTTATCAAGGTCATCCTGTAACTTTCTGCACCCAGAGATTACATTCCGCATTAGCCTAGCGTCGTCAACAAACGTGACGTTCATTTCTCATAAATTAAGAACAGCAGGGGACCCAGGATCGACTCTTAGGGAATTCTACTTGGTACATTCCTCCAGCTCCAAGATCTTCTCTGACTCGAGACTGTCTTTCAGGTAGTCTTAGTCAGTTCAGTGTTATCTTGATGTTATCCTTTGTTGATTTCGGGGCTTAGCGTCCTCGCGGCCCGGTCCTCGACCAGGCCTCCTCTTTGTTGCACATTCCCAGGAAGCAGCTCGTAGCAGCTGTCTAACTCTCGGGTACCTATTTACTGCTAGGTAACAGGGACATCAGGGGTGAAAGAAACATTTTGCCCATTTGTCTCCACCTCCACCGGGGATCGAACCCGGAACCTCAGAACTATGAATCCGAAGCACTGTCTACTCAGCTGCCAGGCGCCATGTCTCTTCAGTTATCCCCCGCTTGTTTCTTCATCTTCAACACAAGCCGTTCCTGAGAACAGTATCAAATGCTTTTTGACACTGAAGCAGAATACAATATATACTGCATTCATTTT